CAAAAATGAACGAAGACTCAGAACAACACCAAATTCAGTTTGTATGCCTTTCACAAGCTGGACTATCGATGCCAAGCATTTAAAACAGTTTCCTAACAGTTTAAGACACTTTTAAATGAGGGGATAGGGACATCGTTATGTGAAAATCCCCCATAGGAAACATCGCTGTGTGAGGCAGCAACTTGATCAGAAAAAGACATCGTTATGTGAATTCATCATTGTGTGAGGCACTCGTTGTGCGAGGCACCACTGTACTTTAATGGATATTAACCCAGCCTCTAAGCGAAGAGCCACATTGGAAGTACAAAGTGGAACTCCAAGAATGGCTCTCGCAAATTTGGTCTGAACAATCTCCAGAGGTCATACATTAGTGTAAGCGAGTAGTTGAGAACCATAAAGCATTTGTGAAATAGTCCTGGCCTTTAAAACTTGTATTACTGATGGTACATATTTACCTCCAACAGTATGAAAAAATCTTGTTATTGCCCCAGTATTTTTGTGGGCATTCATTGCTGCATGGTTTACATGAGTAAGCCAGGATCCTGAAGAATGAAAAATTATGCCATGGTATTTATAGCATGCTACTTGCTCTACCGGGTGTCCATTTAGCGACCATTTGTGCTTTATTCTCCTTCTACTCACCACCATAATCTTGGTTTTAGCATAGTTAATTATTAGTTGTTCTTCATTACAATAGGTGGAGAAGGATCTCAGAAGTCTTCTAAATCCTACGCACATAGTTGACAATAAAACGGCATCATCGCCATAAAGTAGAGTTGAAATTGGGTGAGAGGCAAGTTTGGGTTGGTGAAAATTGGAGTTACTTAAATATCCAACCAAGCCATTGATATTGAAATTAAACAAGGTGGGGGCTAGTATTCATCCTTGTCTCACTCCATTCACTTGCATTTGCGCCTTATAATAGATGCAATAATAGATTGTTGTGGGAGGCAAAGCAGGCTTAGAAGTCCTTTGCTATATGCCACATAGGTTGCTAATGACATAATAATGTAAATACCTCCAAGTTAGGAAGCAGCAAAAAGTTGGTTGACCAGTTCTTTCTCTACAAACCAAATTGTGAAATAGTTCCATACAGGTAATATTTCCTGCAAATAACACATAAGGCACAGTATGTGCAAGCCTCTACTCATAAGCATTTGCTAAGGAGAATCAGGCTTCTTTGCTGACCAAAGAAATAAGAATTGTGTCCAGGTACCTTACTAAAGTAGATGTTGCAAACCAGAAGAGAACTGGTTATACAGTGGTGCCTCGCTTAACGAGCGCACTGTTTAACGAAGAATCTGCATAGCGATGCGTTTTTTGCGGTCGCATTGCGACATTTTGAATGGCAAAACATCGCATTGCGATGATCAGTAAGCGTTTTGCTTACCGGTCTTCGCATGGCGATGTTCTAAAAACAGCTGATCAGCGGTTCCAAAATGGCCGCCAGAAGAAAAAATGGCCGCCCGCTCTGTTTTCGTGCTCCGCCCTCGCTTACTGGGAGGCGAAATGGCGGCCAGATGGGGGAATCTTCGCATAGCGGTGAATTTTCGCCCCATAGGAACGCATTAAACAGAGGTTAATGGGTTCCTATGGGTCCCCCCCACATAGCGACGAATCCGATTAGCGACATTAATCCTGGAACAGATTAACGTCGCTATGCGGGGCACCACTGTAGTTTTAAAATAAACATCATCATTTACCTTTCAAGCTGATGTTCTACAAATTATGTTGATATATGTGGGGAATTAGACTACTCACTTTTGTGGAAGTATTTCTAAGGTTGGAAAAACTTGTATTAAAAAAAAACAGTTAAGAAAATTATGTCTTCTGTACTGTGTTGGCTACATGTTAACTTTTGGCTGCTTTTACTATGAGGCAGGAAGAGGGAATTCATTATTTTGAGGAACATAAACTTATATACAGATAGCTTGAAGTCAGAAGTATGGCATGCCTTATATGGAACAAATATCCCACTGTTTGTGAATCAGGTCTTGTAGGAGCATCATGCAGAGGATAAAAGAGAGTGGGAACACTCTTTGCTTGATTGATTGTTTAATGTGAGGGACAAAAATTGGTCAGTTTCAATTTAATTAACATGCAATGTGTCCCATGCAGTAGCTTTTATGTTTTCGGAAGAGTTCTTGCCCTTCTAAAATGTTCTTATCCTCTAAAACACTGGTGACAGTTGTGTTTGTTTTGAGATTGAATTTGCTAGTATTTAGCAGTCAAAAAGGTGCTCAAGGTGTCCCAGTACATACACATAATCATAACTTCCTCCATGCACTTTTATACATTTTAAAAGCATTTCTGAAAAGAAAAGAAGGGAATTACAATAAACATCTCCTGTCTGGGCACATATTGACTTGGCAGTGCCTGTTTAAAGTTAATATCATGCTTTCTCAATTGAACAGAAAGCATAGATACTGTGAGAGTTTTTATTTTGTTTCGATGTTGTTTGTTTACCAGTAGACCTATTCTAGCAAATACATACTGTAGAAACGAAGGGACAATATAGAAACACCCTGCTGGGCAACATTGTTCTCTGGAGAGTAATGCATGATGTTAACATTTCGAACCCTTCAATTTTTTATTGTGTACGAAGGCTTTATTTTGTCACACATGTCACAGTGCCACGTTACCTTTAATATTCAGATCTTGGGTGTTTTGTACTATGCCTTTCAATAGCAGTCACAAAATAAATAATACGTTGGGTGTATTTTTAGGAGGTGTGACATTTCTGTCTCTGCCTGGCAGTGTTCGAACACTCTTCTCAATAAGACTGTTTGCTGTCTGTCAGTTAATGCTGGCCCTTTTCACAATGTTTGTCGTAGAAACAGGCCTCGATCCTAGAAAGGTTGATATCTTCCCTTCAAGGGGAGTAGAGGCAATTGAAGGCCCGAAAGCTTGTTCTGAAAGGATAGATGTCACGTTCAAGAGCAAGTTGAGTGACAATCTCTCCATCTTCACTTTGTGAAAGGTCCCTCATGTCAATGATTCGTAAGAAATCTCATCCAAACAGCATCATGACCAAGAAAGAAAAGATACCATCTCTGCATGAATCAGGTATGGCCCATTGTCTTGCCAGTAAAATGAATCATTTTTGTCAGAGCAGTCGCCTCCTATTTGTGCCTTTTATGCATTTCTATTAAATGATCAAACCTGCCATTTTAAGAACAGTATCATTTGGCTGCAAGACAGATTAAGCAGAAACAAACTGAGGGTTTGTTTGTTTTTTCCTGCCAGTGAATATCTGTGGTGGTGTTACAAAAATTCATGCATGCACACATGCACCAGAAGAGTAGGTCTGTTTTGAAATGCTCATGAAATGTGTCTGTAGCTGCATATTATATTGCTTTTGTCTCCTGAATTGTTACCTTATTATGGAGCAATATATAGAAAGAAGATTAGGTTTCTCATGATAACTACCTGTTGTTATAGCAGATGGGAGCTCCAGCAGGAGACTGTTTATTTTGGTTCCACAACATGGCACATGTAGTCACCAGGCCATTCTGAAATGACTACCAAGGGAGCTGTCAAGCTCTCTGATTCCCTCCACACCAGCTTACTTGTGTGTGTTTTTTTAAATTGCATGCAAAATGGGCTATGTTCCTCCTCTGTCAAATGCTGATCCCTCAACTTTTGCATCTCACTATATATTGTTTATATAATATAGTTAGGCCCTTTGAGGTATATCAGGCAGTGGAATAACATTTTGTTATATATAAACAGATATATTAAATTAATATTTTGTGTGTGTGTGTGTGATTTTCATTGGAAAGGTTTGTGTTCTGCTGTAGCGGAATCAGATACTGTTCTTCTTTGGATAGAGCCTGCAGGCAGTATAAAATGTGGGTGTGATAGAAGAAGGCACTTGGGGAAGGCTGCAGGAATGTTGCTTGCACCCACTGCAACAGCTTCTACTGAGAAGAACAGGAGAGGGAAAAGAAAAAGACAGTCTACAACTGCTATAATGACCCCCCCCCCCAAACAAAATTTGTCACCCAGATGCCTTGGTCAGCACTGACACTGAAACAGTAGCAGGCAGCAGTATGGGGGGGGGGGTCTCTGTGCCAAGGAGGTGGCAGGGAAGCCTCTGGCTCAAGGTGGACAGATAGGAATGAAGTTCAGACATGTTCCAGTGAAGTCCTTCTGCAATCCAACCAGGGCAAGGGGCCAAAAAAGATTGTGAAGGCACTTTACTCCCAAAGAGTCAATGGACCATCAATGATGGCATTAGCACTCAGACTGACAATGTCATCTAAGGTAGCAGCAATGCTGCTGCTTTTGTGGTTGGGAAAGAGAATGAGCATCAGACATTGCCTTTAATAGCCATACCATGAGGCTCCACCATATTCAAGGAAGGGTTCTCCCCAGCCCCCATTCCCAGCAAATCTGTCCTCTGCAAAACTGTATTGTGGTTGGTGGGAACTCCCCTTCAAGTTCAATTCACATCTAATGTGGGTGAGGAGGAGACTGAGGGACTCCAGTGGGCACTGTGATCCTGACATCACCTCTGCCCCTCCATCTGCACTGTCTCACCAGCTGCTAGAACTAGTAGTGATGACAAGTTAGGAATCCCTGTTAGGAATATGCAGCCAAAAACTGGAAGCATTTTCAATGGTATGCAATACTCAGTATACCCACCTTTAAAAATTTCCTAGTGTCCTCTTTCACAGTCTGTCAGATTAACCAGAAATTGAGTATCGAGTGTACTTTGTTTAAATGACATAATTTTGATTTATTTCTTTGTTTGGAAACAGGAGAAGTAATAGATCTGAAAAGACAAGCTGTGGAAGAAATGATGGATAGAATTAAAAAGGGTGTTCACCTTAGACCTGTTAATCAGTCCAATCGTTCCAAGACAAAGGTTTGTCATTTATATACAGAAGGGTGGGCGGATTTGTTTTGGAACTGAACCATTTTTGTGACATTGTTCACAAAATTTCTGCCCTGTCCCTGTATTCCAGCAGAATGGCAGGCATCTTCTAACACAGCTCCATAGATTTAGATAGGTTTCTTCATATTCAAAATTGAATAGACGTGTATAGCTGATTCTTTGCCTGAGTTTTTTCTCTCTTATATCAGAATTCCTTTGGTTAGAGTCGGGTCCTCATTTTCAATAAGCAACAGGACAGCCCATGATGCTGCTGGAGGCAGAACCCGTTCACCAGCACAGGAAGTAGTTGGAATACTTGTAGTCTAAGAATGATAATTGGTAATTTTAGATTAGGCATTCTTCAGTCTTGGGAGACTATGGTAATGTGCTCTGTATCTCAGCGTCTAGTGTGGCTGAGAAGGCCAATTCGAGAGTGACAATCCCTTCCACACCGAAGACAAATACAATCTGTCCCCTGTCCAGCTCCCTGGTTTTGCTTTTTTCGTGACTGCCTCTTTGCCTCAGCCTGCTGGACAAGGGTCTCTTCAAATTGGGAGAGGCCATGATGCACCACCTGCCTCCAGGCTGAGCGCTCAGATGTCAGGGTTTCCCATCTGTTGAGGTCCATTCCTAAGGCCTTCATATCCCGCTGGCAGATATCTTTGTATCACAGCTGTGGTCTCCCTCTGGGGCGATTTCCCTGCGCTAATTCTCCATACAGGAGATCTTTTGGAATCCAATCATCAGCCATTCTTACAACATGCCCAAGCCAACATAGATGTCGCTGTTTCAGTAATGTATACATGCTAAAAATTCCAGCTTGTTCTAGGACTACTCTGTTTGGAACTTTGTTCTGCCAGGTGATACCAAAAATGCGTCAGAGACAACACATATGGAACGTGTTCAGCTTTCTCTCCTGCCATGCACAAAGGGTCCAAGACTCACTGCAGTACAGGAGTATACTTAGGACACATGCTCTATAGACCTGGATCTTGGTATATGCTGTCAGCTTCTTATTGAGCCATACTCTCTTTGTGAGTCTAGAGAACATGGTAGCTGCTTTGCCAATGTGTTTTATCCAGCTTGATATCTAGGGAGAGAGTGTCAGAGATCGTTGAGCCAAGGTACACAAAGACATTACATGGTCATTGGTCATTACATGGGGATTAAAGGAGGCTCACTGCAGGCCTGATGGAGCAACACACGCTACTGTTTGCAGAGGTCTTCTTAGCAGAAATGGAGGGAAGTATTTTTAAAGTCTCCAAAACTGTTAAGATTCATCCACTTTCTATTACTCCATTCAAGTGTACTTCAGAACAAAGTCTTTGTTGCAGAATGCCACTGCTTTTGATTTTTCCAACAGAATGTGGTTTTCCTAGTGTATGCTCTTGAATACATTATTCAACATTTACAAAATCAGGTTTTATAGACGAGTGTTTTTTAATTACAGCCAGAACTGCCCAAACCCACAGAGAATGCAGTGAAGGAGCTAAAGGGAATTCTGGTAAGAAGAAAAAAAAAACCGCCTGATACTAGACAATTTTTGAAAGCATTTATGGTTTTTTAAAAATAATATCTGTAGGAATGGAGATAGATGGATGTAGATGGACATTCAGAAAGTTTGTGATATTGTTATTATTTAATACTGTGAGCTCATATTATTATTTTTTTAGAGAACAGAGCATGATTGCCTTCTTTTATTCCAAAGCTCTCAGCCAAAGACTTGAATAAGAGCCTCAGTTCCTGCAATAATAGATTTTTACTCCTTATAAATCTTTTCTCCATTAGAACGAAAAGAAATACTTTATAAAACCAACTTATGGTGTGTTAGCAAAGCTAGTTATTAGCACAGCAAGACAGGAAAAAATAGGGTTGGTAGGTAAAGCTAAATACTTATATGCATATTGTTACTGTGCTAATTATGCATTTCATGTAGGCCTCCATATAATTGTGGTAAACAAAGTGATACTAATTTGTTCCATTTCACGCTTGATGTAAAACAAGCTTTGCTACTAGATCCGTAGCATGAGCACAATAGCTAGGAGTTCCTTGTTAATAATATGACTGCTCTGTTAAATTCAGAACACTAACAAAATGCAGGATTTAACTTAATTGGAGGAAACATAGGAAATTAAATGCTGTTTTGCTGAAGGTTTTCAGGATGTGCCAATTTTAAGAATTATGTGCTGCATTTTCTTCCTAGTAGTCATTTCTAAGAGGAGTGGGGGCAGAATCCAGGTTTAACATATGCAGGATAAGGAAGACAGTTTATGTTCTCTCTGCACCAGTTCCATGAGAGAGGGGACTAGAGGTGAACACCTATTCCGGTCTTCAGCCTGAAAATATTTAGGACTCAAGGGATAGTAATGTTGTTAAGTTCCTCACCACCATTTCCCCCTCTTCAAAAGTCATACAGACCATTTTGTATTCAGCAGGAACCTCTGCATAGCTACTGTAAGTGCATTCAACTGAACACACTTACAGAGTTTGTGTGATTGCGGAATGTAAATCACAGAAATGCTGGAAAAATAGTCAGTTAAATCTGCATTAAATGCCTGTGCAGAATGTCATGCTGAACACTCTAGCTGCCTAGAGTGGTCTGGTTGGTTGGTTGGTTGGTTGGTTGGTTGGTAGGTAGGTAGGTAGGTTAGGTAGGTAGGTTAGGTAGGTAGGTAGGTAGGTAGGTAGGTAGGTAGGTAGGTAGGTAGATAGATAGATAGATAGATAGATAGATAGATAGATAGATAGATAGATAGATAGATAGATAGATAGATAGATAGATAGATAGATAAAGTGAAAGTCTGTGGGACTTTCAGGTGAGGATGTGTCCTTATGGGCCTACACCCTTTCTTGCCACCTTTTAAGCACTACACTAGTGGTTCCCAAACTTTTTCCTCACAGCTCCCTTGAGTGATGGCAGCAGCGGCAGAGCAGGAGGAGTGGGGAGGGTCATGGGGCAAACATGGAGGCCAAGGAGCTGGAACCAGAGCTGGAGGAGGAGGAGCAGCAGCAGTAGCACTGCTGGTGGCTTGGCGAAGAAACAGAAAAGAGATTTGGCTCGGTTTGGCAATGCCCCAGGATGCCCTGGGGGCCACAGGGCACGGCTGTGCACCCTTTGGGAACCCCTGCCCTACACATTTCCAGGCTGAATAGGACTATATTCTAAAAGGTGGAAAGATTTAAACGATTTATTGAATGTCATGGAATCACAGTCATTCTAAGACCTTGAGAAGATGGGCTCTAGAGAATTTCTTAAGGGCTTGGAGTCCTCATGAGTTCTGCAGCCAGTGGAAGATGAAGGGCTAATAGGCTGTTTGTGCAATTGATCTCTTACACAGTCCATTGTTATCACAGATTGAACCAATCTTCCTTAGCCTGAGTTCCCTCCAGATGCTGTGAACTGCAACTACCTTGCCACATATCCTCTGACCAGGAATTATAGGATACCTACATAGTCCCAATTATCTGGAGCCTACCTGGTTAAGGAAAAATTGCACATGGAGTGTGATAGTGATTTGATGCTTGTTGAGGCCTTAAAATCCTCATTAAATGGAATACTGAAGGCCTTGCTAGGAGGCCAACTATTGCATCTATTATAGCTTTGTAATGGCTGGATGTGGGTGTTTATCTAAAACAAATAATAAGTTAGCAGCTAGTTGTTCCAGGGCAGAACACAGTGGGGCACACCACCAAGAAGGCCCTACTTCCAGTTGCCATCCACCTAAACTTTTCAAGGCAGGGGTACCCAGAGGGGTTCTCTCCAATACAGACATTGACAAATGGGCAAGTTGATATTGGAGTTGGAAGCCTTTCACATAATCCATTTAGGCATTTGTGGATCATTATAACCTGTGCCCGGAAACAAGCTGGAAGTGGAGATTTAAAAAAAAAACTGGCAGACTACAGCAAGACCATTTCTAGTCACTAGTATGAACTTACTGGGGATTCTGAATAAATTTGAAGGACAGCCCATGTACAATGCAGACCAAACTGCATGTGATAAAGAAATATTTGATTAATGATCATAGCAACTTTCCTTTGTCATGTTCTTGATCTTTTCATTAACATGCCATATTTCAGGAAACACTGAACACATCTGCAAGTTCAAGAAGCCTAAAATCCCTTGATACTTACAGTAATGAAACAGAATTAGAAAGAATTCTACGTCTCAGAAAGGTGACAACTGATCAAGACAGTAGCAGTAAGTTATCATGATCTTTTCAGGTCCTACAGCTGAATTATGTTGGTTCTTCAGTATTGTTCCAAAGGCCTAATTGCCTTCCTTTTGAAACCGTTAGAAGTTCAGGCCTCATTAACAGGGGGAGCTCTGATTATCTTTCCAGATGATCCATGTTCTCTTAATAGCTCCACTCCAACATCTCCAGCATTGTTCAGTGAAGCCAGATCAGACACCCATCTGTTACCATGTTCAGAAACTGACACTAAAGCCATTGTGATCTTTTCAGCCAATATATGCACTCTCCAGTTAGTTCCTAAGATAAGCACATAAATTAACACCTGGGTTTCCTAGTCACAATAACAGGCGTCATGGAACCTGAATGGTAATAAGATGTGGAAAATCAGGAAAATGATTTCTAAGGTGAATGACTTTTAAAATCCGAATAAACTAGTTTGGTGCCAGTTTATTTGAAAAACCACCTATAACTATACAAATGTCCCTGGGGATTAAGTCTAGCCTCAGAGGGGTCCGAGCATTAAAGGATGGGTGTTTTTCTGGTCACTGACCCATATTTGTAGAATTGCATTTCAGGGGATATGAATCCAGAAGTTAGCAAATATTAGTGTGAATGGCCATTAATTAAGGCTAGTTAGTATTAATTCAGCAGGTAAATTGCTAATGGTAATAATTCTTTTAGAAATTAAATTTTTGTGTTCATTAAAACAACAGTGTTTTTTGTTTGTTTGTTTTTGACTCCTTTAAGATGGTAGATTTATTTGACATAAGATTTTTTTGGACCCCACTTCAACAGATGCATGTTAAAAGATATATTTGTAACAAATTTGATTCCAGTGTTAGGTAAAGGTAAAGGCTGCCCTTGACATTTAGTCCAGTCATGTCCGACTGTAGGGCGTGGTGCTCGTCTCCATTTCCAAGCCATAAAGCGAGCGTAGTGTCCGAAGACAGGTTCCGTTGTCATGTGGCCAGCACAACTAGACACAGAATGGCATTACCTTCCCACCGAGGTGGTACCTATTTATCTACTCACATTTACTTGCTTTTGAACTGCTAGGTTGGCAAGGAGCTGGGAGAATTGATGGGAGCTCACTCCGTCACGTGGATTCAATCTTACAACTGCTGGTCTTCTGACCCTGCAGCACAGAGGCTTCTGCGGTTTAACCTGCAGCGCCACCACGTCCCCCTCAGTGTTAGCATAATCAAATAACATTATTTAAAATGGCCAAAAATGACCAATCCCTGGCACAAGGGTAACAGAATTCAATAATTAGTATTAGTATTTGGTAATTTAAATAAAGACTTCTAAAAAGACATTGTTAACATGTTTAACAAATGTGGGGTCACTCATTTGATTTATTAAATTATTTCCAACCTTCTCACTTCATCTACTGTAGTTTTTATGCAGTTCTTAAACCTTTTTTAAAAATTTGTGCTTATCTGAATTGCTGGACTAGATTTCTTCTGCCACTTTCTTATACCTTTTTGTTTTGTTTTGAAAATATTTTATTTGAAAGGCAGTCATGTCTATTGTTTGGAAGCTGTTGGTTCTTTTGTTTTGTTTTGTGATGCTATTGGGGTTGTTTCAGTTGTATTTTTTGTTTTTAATTATATGGGTGACACACCTTGGAGAAGGCTTTGCCTCAAAAGATGGCAGATCATCCAGTAAATAAAAGAAGAAAATATTGTTTCTTTTTGCCCTAAGAGCAGTTGTAAGCATTAAATCCCTAATTATTTTCCTAAAGGAGCACATTGATATAGCTCAAGTGAGGAAACCTTGAAAGAATGATTGAAAGGAAAAGTCTAAATTGCAATACTCGAACAGATAGTGGTTAATGTATGAAAATAATCAAAACTCCCTTGGGCTAATTTAACACAGTAGCACTATATAGTAATGTGAATGCTCTACTGTTTTAGTTTTAGGTCCTGCTGGAATCTTGGCTGCTTCAGAATCCAAATCCATGCCAGTATTGGGTTCAATTGGAACACAGTCCAGTTTGAACAAGAAAAATCTAGTGGAGGAATTCAGTCCCAGTTCTTCAGGATCAGATGAAAAGTGTCCTGAAATGATCCAAAGTACAAGTTCCACGGATGTCATTCAGTAAGTACAAGTGTCCGGTATTAGCCCCTTGTGATGGGAAGGTTTGAAGCTCCTGAACTGTTTTCAACAGTCAAAAGGCAAAAAGTCTTGATCAGTTGCACTTATTAGCAGTGACAATCATGGAACACACGTTATCTTCCTCCTTGATGCACATTGCTGTTCCAGCAAAATCCAGAGCTTTCTGTATTTGCGAGGGATTATGTAGTACTCATTTCCCAAAACGAATAGAAGTTTAGGCAATTGAGAGAGCTGCCCTGATGTGGTTTCTTTTAAATGAGAGAGCACCAGTGTTTTATGGTATTTTTGGAGTGTTTACATTATCTTCCTATATGCAAGCAGATTTTAAGTGCAGACAACACAATACTCACATCATATGTCAGACTGTTTCCCCACATTAGGATCTGTGTGAAAAACGGCCTGCATAACTAAGGTGTACTCAGAAACACAATGGCAATGCTCCCCCAATTCCTTCCCTCCATTCTGTCTGTCCTCCCTTAGCTAAGGTGCATGCGTTATTCCATCACCAAACTCTCATCTCCTTAAAAAATGCTCTTCTTACAGCATCTTCATTCCTGAAAAATCAATATGCCAACAAAGGAATGGTCATACAGTAGCAAATAATGGTCAAGCACACACTTTGTTACTGTGGGCATCAAACTGATGGACAAGCAAGGAGGGCCCAAACAACCTGATGCACACACATATGCACAGACACATATGCTCTCTCTCTCTCTCTCTCTCTCCCCCCCCCCTCAAATCTGGGGATTGGAAGCATGAGAAAAATGTCCAAAGCTGCAACCTAGAGCCTTCTCACAAATGCCCTGAGTTGTGTTCAACAAAGATGACCAGGGCTTTTAGGATCACTATCTGTGGAAGCAGAAGCACCCATATGCAGTGGTGCCTCGACTTACAAACGTCTTGATTTGCGACCAATTAGAATTATGACCAGCTCCAGTCGCAAAATTTTGCTTTGAATTGCAACCGGAGCTTTGAATTACGATCGGAAAAAAGGCAGGGCAATTTGAACTGCTAACCGTTGGCCGGTGAAGAGGCTGCTTCTTTGTAGCTCTTTTGCTCCAGCAGTTAGAGAGTGTGCATTCGGAGGAGGCTTTGGACTGCCTGGTGAAGTACTGCTTTTTTAAAAACTGCCTGGTCTAGGTGGGTTTTGCAGCGTGGGTTTGTGCTGGGTGGTGGGATTATGTTTCTATGCTGTGATGGGTCTTGCATTGTGTTTTTTAGTGTCTGGGGGGGTTTCGGCTGGAATGGATTAATCGCGTTTCTGATGGGTCTTACAGTGTGTTTTTTAGTGTCTGGGGGGGTTTCCGCTGGAATGGATTAATCGCGTTTCTGATGGGTCTTGCAGTGTGTTTTTCAATCCCTGCTGGAATGGGTTTGTTTGATTCTGCGAGGGTTATGTTTCTGTGCTTTGATGGGTCTTGCAGTGTGTAGTTGTAGCATTTTTAGTCCCTGCTAGAATGTTGTTGTTGTTTTAATTCTATGGTTCCTAGGATTTGTGTACTGTGATCTCTCTTTTGTTTTAAAATGTATTTGGTTTAAAATGTGTTGGTTTAAAATGTGTTTTAGACTCCAAACTCTCCCCCCCCCCAATTGTCTTCTCTCTATCTGCTCTCTTTTTGTGCCTAAAAGCACGAACCTTTGTCTGAAGGGTCTATGTGCCCCAGTGATGATCTTCTTTATTTCCTCTTTTCCCCATTGTTCCCTCCCTCCCTCCTTCCCTGCCCTTTTTTAAACCTAAATCCCGTTAGGTTAAAAAAAACTCTCCCCTTCCAAACTCTCCCCCCCCCCAATTGTCTTCTCTCTATCTGCTCTCTTTTTGTGCCTAAAAGCACGAACCTTTGTCTGAAGGGTCTATGTGCCCCAGTGATGATCTTCTTTATTTCCTCTTTTCCCCATTGTTCCCTCCCTCCCTCCTTCCCTGCCCTTTTTTAAACCTAAATCCCGTTAGGTTAAAAAAAACTCTCCCCTTAGTGGATGGATTAACTGCTTTTGCATTAGTTCCATTTGGGAACTACAGTGGTGCCCTGCATAGCGACGTTAATCCGTTCCGGATTAATCGGCGCTATGCAAAAACATCACTAAACAGATCCCTCCTTCCCTGCCCTTTTTTAAACCTAAGTCCCGTTAGGTTAAAAAACACTCTCCCCTTAGTGGATGGATTAACTGCTTTTGCATTAGTTCCATTTGGGAACTACAGTGGTGCCCTGCATAGCGACGTTAATCCGTTCCGGATTAATCGGCGCTATGCAAAAACATCGCTAAACAGATTGAAAAAACCCATAGGAATGCATTAAACTTGGTTTAATGCATTCCTGTGGGGCCCAAACTCACAGTTCAGCGAAGTTCCTCCATAGCGCCGCCATTTTTGCGCCCTCGGTAAGCGAGGGCAGGATGCGAAAACACTTGCGGTGGCCATTTTGGGCACCCGGCGGCCATTTTGGAACCGCTGATCAGCTGTTTAAAAAACATCGCAATGCGAAGATCAGTAAGCAAAACGCTTTCTGATCATCGCAGTGCAATGTTTTACCCATTAAAACATCGCAATACGAACGCATTAGCGATCTAAAAAATTAGATCGCTATGTGGATTCGTCGTTAAACGGTGCGCTCGTTAAGCGAGGCACCACTGTAATGCTTTGACTTGCAACCAGCGCGTTGAGATACAACCAAAAAACAGCCAGACTGGATTAATCGCATTTCAGTGCATTCCTATGGGAAATGATGCTTTGAGTTATGATCAACTTGAGTTACGACCATCTTCTGGAACAGATTAAGCTCATAACTCAAGGACTATCTAAACTCTTCATTTCCAGCCATTTTTCCTTCTTTGAGATACATGCATGCCGATTTTTTACATTTACTCTGAAAGGAAAATGATAGCTACAGTTCACATTACACTAGGACCCTAACCTAGTTCCATTCTGTTTCTCCACTGAAAAGGAATCATTTCTAGTGCAGTCTTATGGTCCCTGGGACCATATTATATTCCCCACCCGCTAGATATGAGTCCCCCCTTCACTGCTTCCAAAATAAACGTGCAAGGCCAATGGACAGAGCAGCAGTGCTTTTCACCAGAAAGATCCCAATTCCTCCTATGTGCCAACCGCAGGAAGCTTTATGCCACCCTAAAACTAGTATAAGAACCTGTTGCAAATAATGGGAGATAAATGGTAGCATAACAAGTGAACATGCTTCTTCCCCTCTGGCAGGTGCTCATTATGTTCTGTGCATCAAATTCAATTATGAGACTGCCATGTTGATAACAGTATATCTGACTGGTGGCCATGCCAGACAGATGCACATTTTTCTCTGCTTAAGATGCAGCTGTCGAAGGAGTTCTTAATCAGCAGAAAGCAGAACGCTGAGCTAGCTGGAGGTGTTGAGATCTAATACTTTGAAGCTTCCATCTGTTTGGCTAAATAGACTTTCAGTTTGGTTTGCCATGGTATTACCTGACTTGACTGTACATTTGCTTTCAAAGTGCTATTTAATCATCAAAGAGTTAATCCTGCTTCTGAAATGTACACTTCAGACAGATCCGGTGCAGGGTCAGTTTGTTTTCTAACAATTCCCACCTTTCAAAACAAAAAACAAAACCAAAAAAAAAACCCACCCAACTCTAAAGCTTTCCTTGGGTTCTTTAAAAAAAAAAAAAAAAAAAAACCCAACTCTAAAGCTTTCCTTGGGTTCTCTTTCCAGGATGTCAGGCAGTTCTGTTACTTAAAAAAGGAAATGAGTGAGACAAATCAGATCAGCAAAATGTTATAATCATGGTTAATTAAACCTTTGATTTCCTGTTCTGTCAGTGGAAAAAGGAGTACCTATTCTCAAAGGTCTGCATCTCATAGTTCAAAGGGGCAAATCTCAACAAATGAAGTGGAAACTCTATTCACATCATTTTGTGTGCTGCTTTATTCTCCTTCTGGTGCTTTTATCATTTATAGAATGGGGGTGGGCTTGTTTCCTCTTCCTCTATTCTTTATTTATTTAAAGTTTATTTAATGCAGCCTAAACTTCTGTGTTGAAAGAAAACACCCCTGTCCAATTGCATTTTGTTTCCTTTTGCAAAGGTACTCTGATTCTGATTTTAAAAATTACTTGTACTTCCTATCTTTCTGATTAAATTTAATTGGACATCAAGACTGAATTTTTTTATTTTTGGAAACACTAGTAAGACGTAAAGACAATTTAGTTCAAAGATGAGGCTTCTTTTTTTCTGTTTTCCTCTGTGAACTACATCATTGTTCACCTGTGGATTTCCACATATTTAAATGGATAATGTTAATCAGAGGACTCTGCTACCCTGCCTACCTTTTCTGTCTACCTTTTATTCCAGTAAACTAAGTGGAAATTGCATTTGCAGGGAAGGAAATGAAATAATTGCAGACCCAAGGTCTCCCAGAATGCGTGATGAATTGACCATGAAAAGGATCTTGTGTCAACCGTCATAGTTGTCAGATGCTATAAAAGCATACGTGAAGCCTTGCTTATTATGCAGCTTGCCTATTCAGCAGCAACCAAAGAGGCACCTTTTTATTTTAAATTATCTGCTTAAAAATAATTAACAGAAGTGTCATGGCCCATATGCTTCGAGATAACTTTGCTATAGTGTTAATTTGACTTGTTCATACTGCCAATATAGAAAGCCAACAGAGCAGTTTTTCCAAGGTTAGGTCTGATCCTGTGGTCTGACAGTTCCTTTCTGGACGAGGGGAAAATGGCTGCATTGTTGCATTATGAATGGTTTTCACTTGGGATTATTGTACAATGTTTGTCCATGAACATTTGTACAGTTTGTCAGAATTCAGTTCCCTGGTGGTACCACTCAGTGAGGGGTGCAAGGGAAGTGACAGAAGACCACTGATTTTGTTTACAAAAATCTCCAAAGTTTAATCCCAGCAGAGCTATGTTATACATTTCTCCCACACCAGTGGTAGCTAGTGTTGGAACAGCCAGGGATGACAGGATCAAAGTGAGTATAGT